TTCCCTTTGCGTGTTGTGAGTAGCTTAAATGCAAGGATATACTGGGTGTGAGGTCTCTTCCTCCGCAGGGAGCCTCCATCGTAAAGGAGATTCACGGGAGAAGCGGACTGGCTTTAATAGCTGTTTTTTAATTGCCCCAATGCATCTGCTCTTCCCTGTCTGTGGGCTCTTGCTGGTTTTTCCCTAGTTCTCACTAGTGGCCTTGACTGTTGTTTTGTTTAAGAGGCAAAACAGCTACTTCTAGGCTATCTTGCTTATAATAAGCATTTACCTTGCAGTTGGACTAGATGATCATTGTAGTTTCTTTCCAACTGAAAAAATATTCTAAACCTTACTCTTGCACCTTTTGCACCCAAAAATATCGAAGTGCTGGGCAAAGCACGCCTGCACTGATTCTCCCAGCACTCTCGTGAGAGAGCAGAATCATTTATTCCCTTTTTAACCACGAGGATGAGGGAGGTTAAGCAGCTGTGTGAAGGTCATGCTGGAAAGTATGTGGTATCTTGGGAATAAACTCCAGGACTCCTGTCTCCGGGTTCTCTATCGTGCCCTCTCCTGAATTGTTTTCATAGGTAAGAATCAAGTAAACCCAGGAATAATTCGGATTGAATTTGTTTAGTAGAACAGCGAAACCCAAGCATACGTGGGATGTCTGGAGTAGGAGGTAAAAAAAAGAGGGTGCAGTCTTTTTTTAGAGTTGTTCCTGATGTTAGACATTTAAGACCAAAGCTAAAGATTTCTAATAGCCAGATGTTGGAAGGAAAAAGACGTTGTCCGTATGCTCAGTGCCGCAAGCATCTGTGTACTTAAGTGCATCATTTTAAGATCATCCGTCTTCTCTTGGTAGCGCTGAACTGTCCGCTGCCATCCTCAAAGCTCTGGAATGGACTCTGGTACCTCTGGATATGTTCTTCCTTGGTGGACCGTTTTCCAAGCAACGACTGACTGTGAGCACACACACATCTGACTGGAGCGGAAATTCAGAGCGCTCTGACAAATTTAGAGTTGCTGTCTACAGCTGAGAATGGCTGAAAGGAAGCAATTTGCTTCAAAAAAGTGAATACTGGGAGAAAACATCTATTTCTGTAGCAGTTACGAAGAGCAAACTCGGAAAGGTCGACTGCAATGGCAGGTAGCAGCTGCCCACAATTTCAAAGGCCTGGAGATAAAATTAAGGGCTTGGAGCTGGAGCCTGGTGAGGAGCACTGACAAACCTGCGAAGGGGAAAGCAAGTTCTTTGAACTGACTTCGCTTTGGAAACCTGTAATCACACGAGAGTCCCGCTGCAGCCTCCGGTTTGCAGGAGTCGGGTGCTCTTGTATCTGCAGACTTTGGCATCTCGGTGGTGGTTTTCTGGGGGATGTGCACATCCACACGTATTGCGGGCTTTCACGCAAAAGGAGTTTTACATAGAAAAACTCATGAGCTTTCTTCAGACTGCAACCGTGCCGTGTCTGTTGTAGCTTCACCCTAGTCACTGTGGTGTTTTTTAGATTCTGTAGACTTTTGGCATGGTTTTTTTTTTCCCTATATCAAATTTGAGTTATAGACTGAACAGGATGAAGCTTTCCTTGGGGGAAAAAGCAGGGCAGCCATCGGGTTAGAGCCTGCAGTGCAAATGTAAGGTGTTCCCAAAGGCTGTCTGTTGTGTGCACCCGGAAAATAAAGAAATCCAAGAAGGAGTGGAGACCACTGGCGTGACCAGGTCAGGCTGATACTGGAGAGGAAACCCAGGAGTGCAGCTTCTCCCTGTCCAGGCTGAAATACCGACTGTTGCCGCGATAGACGTTGCAGGGCAGTGAATGAACGCTGGGGAGGAAACACGTGTTGGGTATGACCGGTCCTAGTGCTCCTTGCACAGCCGGTCACCAGCACCGTGCCCTGCCTATGGCGTAGTTCTTGCACTAGCAGTTCGTAACAGACCTTTCGACATGGGGTTTGCTCTCGCGGTTACACCAGCAGCTGTTGAAATTATTCATATACTCACTGATGATCAGCAGTGAGGTTTGTTGGGAGGTGACTGGGGTACGGTTGTTTAAATTTTCTCTCCACCAGCATCTGGCCGTGCTTGTAGTGTGGCTCACAGAATAAACCTGTGCAGTCTCTTACACTCTGCTCTTGATGAATGGATGGGGAAAAGTTTCATTTAAGTAGTTCCAAAGGAAGATCTGTTTCACAGCTGAGAGATTAAGCCACAAAATGTCCTGACGGGTGCAGCTGTGTCTCCTACCACCTCCCAGCTCTTTATTAGCTTACAGGCAAACTTGCTTCTCCTCTTTTCCCCGCTTTCTGGGTCTCTCCCTCACCTTTTTTTAATCTTAGCCTTTCCTCTTAATACACCTCTTGTCTCAAGTCTGTGGGCTGTACCACCTCAACTCTCACTAGTTTAACTGTGGGAATTAGTCCTTTGACATGAATGGAAATGAGAACTGGCTCCCAACAACTACTGATGAGTTCACCTTTATGTGTTTATTAGCTCTGTCTTGCCTCTTACTATGGTGTTCCTCCATCTTCACGGTGAACGAGCCACATTTGGAGTTTTCCCTACCAGTAGAGTACAGCAGAGATTGCGATGTGAGAGGAAATAAAGTAATGTGCTAGCTCTATGGGCTGCAGGGACCCATAGCTGCCAGTTTGGGGATGCTACTGGCATGGAGATTGCTATGTGCTGGTTTTCTTCTCTGAGCTTAAAACACAAGGTGGCAGAGCTCATCGGCACCTCCGCAGCAGAGCGGCAGCATCTTTCCCTTCCCCTTTTCAGGCTGAGATGTTGGGCGCCGGGAAGTTGCTGAGATGGAGGATGCTCCGTGTGTGCAGGCTGGGTCACGAGGGCTCTTACGTTGCCCCTTCCTTGCATTGCCTTTGCCAGAAGCCTGTGGAGGTGCAGCCAAGCATCCCACAGATGCATGCCCAGAGGGGAAAGCTGCCATTCTGCCACGTCCTGGGGTTGTGGCTGGCTGGAGCCCGTGCTGCAAAGAAACTCAGCCCAGGGCTGTTAGGAAGCTTTCAGGGCACCTAAAGCCAGTGTGGTGAAATAAAACACTTGAGGCATTTGTAACTCTTCATGGCGTGGTCTGTGTGTCATGTTCTCCGGGTGTGGACCTCTTGCTTGACTAAGTCACTCCACCAGAGTATTCCTTCCATCTTTCCTCTACGGGGTTAACTGGGAAGGCAACTGAGCTGGTCCCAGTAGGATCTGAAGAAGGGCTCTCCACATCTCAAACTTCTCCCTAAAAAGTTTCAGCTGAGATTCCAGCCATCCCAAAGAGTTGAAGCAACACCATCTCACGCTTCCTCCATAATTCTTGTAGATAATGGCGTATTTTATTCCTGTGGCCCCTGCGTTTGCTGGCCTTGGCCCCGCAGAGTGTTTTATTGCTTCGAGCTAATGCTGCGAGGATTTATTGTGCTTTATTTAGCCCGGTGCTGCTTCATTGCTCCGCTCGGTGCCATCCTAACCCAGCGACCACCAGGCTTCCCAGGCCCTGCGTCAGACCTGCGCTCGCTCTCCGTGTGCCGATTGCCGTCGTTCACCGCTGCGGCTGGCGTCGGGCTGCGCGTGCTGGTAATTCCCACATGTACGTCACCCTCCCCAAAGGCTCCCCGGCAGACCTACTCTCATTACTTTTAGGCGTTGTTTGCAAGAGCTATGAAGTTTAGTGTTGCGAAAACTGAGCTGCTTTTGAGTGATTTGGAGTAGAGGTTTTCATCATCTGTGATGGTTTCTCCTGGCGATTGCTTTCTTTCAGTCATTTATGTAATTGCGGCACTTGGTTTCCTGTGGATTTTTATACTTCATTTGAGATTCATCTGAAGATGGCATGTTCCCATCTCTAGGAATGTGGCCAGATTGAGACATGAGCTGTCTAAGCTGGCTGCTGAAATGGCAGGCCATATTTTTGTTTCATCCTGAGGTGCTGTTCTGATTTTCCGAGGTGTCTAAGACACAGTCTTCCAGTGTCTGCAGTAGCCGTGTAATTCATGGCTGAGAATATTTTATAGTTATCCCTCTTTCCATCGTACTTAATTCCCACAGGAGCTTCTCATGAAGACCTGTTTCAGTTACACTTAGGTGATATTTTCATTTCCATATGGACTTATCACTCCAACTGACATGTACTAGCACGTATGTGCATGAACAAATGCCTTTCCGTATGGGCGCTGTGAGTGCTGCAGAGCCTGGCGCCTGGTCCAGCTGCATCTGCAGGCACAGAGCTCAATGACCAAGTAACAAGAGGAATTTAACACTTGCAGGGATATTTTTCCTAGGTAATTTGTAGGACCATTCGTTTAAGGGATGCCTGTGCTACAGGGGAAGGCATAAGGTTTCCACTGATAAAAGTCAAGAACACAAATATAAGTGAATGTGGCATTCATACAGCTGCCTGTTTTCACACGCGAGTGGCACGGTTCAGTCTCTGCCCTGCAAACCAAGTCGTTCAGGTGGTGAACACAGACTGCCCTTACGCTTTCCTTTCGACAAAGGAGAGCGTTAGGTTGATACACATGAAAGAGGTGCACGAGGGGGCTATTAAAGAGAGAAACTTTAAAATCAAACAGATCACAGACCTTTACAAGCAGACTGGTAGATTAGTGTTTTTGTCAGAATATCTTTTTACCAAAATGTCATTTAGAAGTTGAACCGCCTGGCAGGCCATCCTAGAAAGGAGCTGGTTCAAAACACAATGAACTAATGGAACATTATTAAAAAAAAAAAAAAAAAATCGGTATTTTCAATGAGTGCTAGGCTAAGGCCTCAGTAAAGAGTCTGGGTTCCCCCAGCCCTCCCTTCTCTGTATGCACAATGTACGTGGATAATACGGATCCAAGAGGAAGTTCACTGGTTTCAGTCACTGCTTTATTGCATTTTTATGACTGTAACCACAGAATGTTCCAATGTATTTTTTCCAAAAAAAATTTCAAAAAAAACCAAACCTTTTTGGGTTTTCACGGGAAGGGTTGTGTTTATCTTGGCTAACTCTGCTTATCCTGCTTTCCAGGGCCACCCATTCATCGTGCAGTACAATGATGGGAATGCAGAAGTTGTGTCCATGTGGGTGTGCAGGATGCTTGAGGAACGGCGATCGACCCAAGGACCACAGTGAGCTGGGCTGGCTCACAGCAAGGCGCAAGACAACAGCTCACCCCGGACTAGCAGTACCAGCCCCGCGCTTCGGACTCGCAGTTTCTCTGGGTCATATTTTACAAAAATATTTTCTAGAAGCATCAACAAAATCTTTCAGGATATTTGTTGCTGCCTTTCCCTCACCACCACATTAAGGAATTTTCTTCCCACATTTCTTTTGTCGCTGAGCAATCTAGTGTCCTCAGATTATCTTCAGTTAAACTGTACACAGCCTTAAAGCAAGTATTTTATATCTCTATTTTTTTGTTATTGAATGTATTGTATATTTCCTGGCTCCAGAGTATTTTTTAACTGTTAGTCTTTTGCTATTGTACGAATGACATGCTGAGTGTTCAGAGGATTTCGTAAGGAGTTGTTGGCTGTATTTGAGTGCAGACATCCACAAAATGCTGGTTTTAAATGTAAAACCAAAGCAAACAAACAAAAAAAAGAAATATCTTGACTTGCCCATCCTGCGAGGAGGCGAGGGATTGCCCTTCCAGGGTAAAAGCACGGCAGATAGATCAGCATCACGCTATCAAATGGCCGGCGGTGCCTCTCTCCGCTCCCGGGCGCCTGCTGCTGCGGCTCGGGTTTGCTGGGGGGGCCAGGCAGGGGAGACAGACACAACACGCTGGTGTGTGCAAAGAGCATCCACGCTCGGGCACTGCAGGCTGCTCCGTAAATGCAGAAAGGTTTTGCTGAGGTGCAAAGAGGTGACGTGAAAGAGGACAGCGCTCTCCTAGACAGGGAGCAGGGGTTCCGCTGGGTGAGCACCAGCCAGAGCCGCGCACGGCCAAGATGGGCTGTCGGCCGCTGGCCACAAAGGGAGAGCAGCCCCGGGCATGGGGAGTTTGCAACCAGCAGCAGCAGAGAGGGGGTGAGGTTCTGCCCGTGCCGCAGGAGGGGGCTGGGGGCCACGGCGCAGGCTTGCGCAGCATCCCACGGGCTGGGGGGGGGCAGAGAGCCTGCACAGAGGGGCCCCAGCCGTGCTCTGCCACTTGCCCTCACGGCCAGAGAACAGCCTGCAGGGTTTTACTTCTTACCGCAGCAGTTTGTGGCTTGCTTGGAAGCGTCTTGCCTTTCTCAGCTTTACCTTGATCACTTGTTGTCTTACGTCGGAGTCGCTGCACGATGGGTCAAGCAAAGGCTCCCAGGTTTGCTGTTTCCGTGAAAGAAAGAATGATTGCAATGTCTCTGCTGTGTATTTGTTACTCCTGCAATTTCTGTGAACGTTTCCACTACAGACTGACACAGGTTTGATCAGTCCTTGTGTTCAGACGCTTATTAAAAAAACAAATACAGAAAAGAGGAGGACCGTGAAAGGCAGAGTTGGTGTGTGTGACTTGGGTGGGGGAGAGGTTGGGGCTTTTGTTTGCTTGTTTTTGCATTAGAAATAAACTTTTGCTAAAAAAGAAAAGCTCAGGTAGTTTATTATATACCAGCAGCTTAAAAAAACCCATGTGATGAAAAATTCCTCCTGAACAACTGCAAATCCAAAATGTTACTTTGGAAGCAGCCTGGAAAAGACTTTGTTTCCTTCCTTGGAGGGATAGTTTGTCTTCTTTTGAAGTATAGAGGTTGCAGGCATGAACTTATAGACTAAAGTTTGTCTTAATTGCTCTGATGTCACAACCTCCCTGGCAGATAACAGTACAATGAATGAGTCAATGGCCCCCATACCTTCAGGTCCTTTTTCTAAAGTGAGACAAATTTCTTCCCTGTGAGCCAACCAGACTATAGGCAGCCCTTCCATTTATTTATCTCTAACAGTTTGCATTAGCTTTCTCTGGATAAAAAGTCTCTCCCTCGGATTTAGTGAAAAAGTCAGTAAACCCAAGGCTTTTCCTCTCGCTTTCTCTGGCGGGGAGGTCGGGAGGGGAGGACGTCACCCTGAAAATCTGTGTGGGATGCCAGCTGATGGAAACGTGAAAAATCTCCTGGCTAACAGGCTGACAGTGTTATAATTCACTGGCATGCGTATTAACCTTGCTGTCTTCATCAGTATACTTAATCAATCCAACAATCATGGGGGAGGTTTGGGGCCTCTATCATCTTTCCTTCCCCAAGTCCTTGAAATCGGTGCAGCCGGGGGTCTGCTCGGCGGCACTGCTTCTGCCCCGCTCCGCTCCCGGCGCCGGGTTAATGCCGTTTTTGGGGGGATTAAGGCTGGATGGGAGAGCGGAGCGGGCAGGTTGGGGTAAACCCGGCTCCCCCTGGGCACGGCCAGCCTTGCTGCCGCCCCGAGTGTGGAGCGGCAGCGAGGTCGGGCCTCCCCGACTGCCACCTCCTTGCCTTGGAGATGGTGGCTCTGGATGGTGGATCCCCATGGGAGGTCTGGACCCCACCGCCCAGTCTGCATTGCTGTATGGGGTCTACTGGGGTCCCCCTGGCACAGCACCTTGCTTTCCCCTTCCAACCCGCGTCCTGGCCCTGCTTTGCACGCGCGTGTGCAAACCTCTGGTGCGCGCAGAGCCCAATTCAAGCCACTCAGCCCGATTCTCCCCACCGCCCATCAGCACCAAAGGGCAAAAGTAAGGGGAAGGCAATAAAATTGGGCCAGATCTGGGCAGATTTAGCTCCGCTGGGTGCCCCCACCCACATCAAGCAGCTCCCCAGCAGGTCTGCACCCAGTCCTGGGCTCCTCTCCCTGCAGCAAATGCGTGCCGACCCCGTGTCTGTGCCGTGCGGGGCAGCGGGAGCCGGGGTGACCCTGGCGTGGGGCACCCCGGTGCGGTGCAGGGTCCCCCCCAAACCCAGCTGAAGGGGTGGGTCCCCCTGGGGTGCAACGCTGCCAGCAGCACGACGGAGCGGGGTCTGCTGTGCTGCATTTGGGCTTAGGAAATCCTGCCTCGGCGCGGGGGCTGTGTGCCCACAGAGGTGACTTTGAGATCGCCAAGACACGTGAAACGTGCCGCTGCGAGCTCAGCCCCGGACTCTGCTGCCAGCCTTGCCTCTAACGTCATCCCGGCCCCGAAACCTGCTCCAGGGATGGGAAACGAACAGGCAGGGCTGGAAGTGCTGGGTGCTGCGAAGGGGCTCAGCAGTGCTGCTCTCCATGCAGGCAGGAGCTGCGCTGGAGCCGGGGCTGCCTGGGGACATTGTCCCTCTTTCCTCCTTCCTGCTGCAACTTTTTGGAGTCTGGATCAGGGCATTTCTTCTCTAAAAAGCTTGCAGAAAATGCAGCAATATTATACCCTACAGCTGAGTCCTGCTCAGAAGATGGCGTGGGGGGTGCATAACAAACACATTAATTCAGCAGGGGATGCTATGATGACCCCCCCATCTCCCCCAGTAGCACTCCTCTTCCTACCAGCTCGTTCAGGGACTCCACCAGCAGCCCCACACCAGTCTCACCGCTCTGTCTCCTCTCCCTGTAACCTCAGTCATGCTGGTACCGATAGACCCAATCTCCTATGGGAGTATGTATGCGGGAGCTCACAGGCTCTGGAAGAAACTGGGTATGTCCCGTCTGTGCCAAAATTTCCCATGTTTTCCGCTTTTCCCTACCTGTGAGCCTTGCCAGGCCATCCTGTGAGATGAGCCCAGGGTAGTTTGCCCTTAAACGCAGCACAGAATTAGAAAATATTTTGTTTCTTGTACCCTGTGGCCAAATACATCCTGCTGTCAGCTTTCCAAAGGCAAAGTGTCGGTCTTTGTTTTCCAAATAACAGCCTGAAAAGCTGCATGTGCGTGTGCGCGCGTGTGTGTGTACACATGCATACATCTGGCAAAGAAACCAGAAATGGGGAATTGCAGCGGGCTGCAGCTTTGGGGGCTGTGAGTGGTCCCCGACCCGCCCCTCTCTCTGGGCTTAACGTCTGTCGAGCAGGGACGGCAGCGGCCAGTGATGCGCTAACATTAATAACTGAGCAATCGCTAGAAACAGCTCTTAGGAGCTTAATTTGATCCCTTTGATATCCGAGAGCATAAGCAAACCGGAGGATTGAATCTGGGAGTGGCGTATGTGTTTTCCTGCCTCGCAGAGCTTTGTGGTCCTGCGGGGAAAGTTTACCTGGAGGCATCAACGGAAAAGGGATGGACTGCAGGGATCCGCCTCTGTGATGCAGGGAGCATGTGGGCAACATCTGAAGCAAAACCTGGGAATTTGGGTCTTAGCAGGGAAAAAAAAATCCCTAGTCCTGCAGGGAGCAAAATCCGCTGATGGAGAGCGATGGCTTTGGGAGCCCACGGCAGAAACCGCTGTCTGGTGACAGAGGGACTTCGGCTGCGGGTGGGAGGGGGGCGATGCCACCGGGGCAGACACGTGGCTCGCTCGGCTTTCTGCCTCCGACTGTGCTCCCCCTGCCCAGCGCTGCCTCCGGGCAGGACAGCCCAGGGGTGCCATTGGCGTCCAGCCCCACGGGAGCTGCACCCTAGGAGCCTGCAGCCTTGGCTGGTGAGGAAGAGGAGGGAGGAGGCAGGTCAGGAGGCTGCAAGAGCTGAGATACCCCAAGCCAGTGCTCTGTTCTAGGGGGGCTCCTCAGCGCAGAGAGGAGCTGTGGGTGGCTGCTCTCCGCAGCGCAGGGGTCCAGGGCACACAGAAACACCCTCGGCCTCTTCGGGAGCAGCAAATCCTCCTCCTCCGCAAGGGTTTGAAGCAGGCGGCCCCTGCGCTGCTCCCTGCGAAGGGCTCCGAGGCTGCTCAGCCTCTTGGGGACAAAGCATCTTTGTGCAGAGGCTCTTCCTCCCACTCCCGTTAAGACGTGCAACCGGCAGAGATAAACACGTAAGAGAGCCGACAACACCCCCAGGGACCCGTCCTCGCTCCGCTGCCAGGAGCCGGCCCACGCAGGCCTCGGCGCGCTGACGGGGCCGAGTTAAACACATCGCAGGTGACCCCCGGCTCCTTGAGAGCTGCAGAAGAACCAGCTCTGGTCCCTCAGCTTCTCTGGAGGGTGCTCAGGAGACCCTCTTCAGCCACGTGAGGTTATTTGTGGGTGACTCCTGCCCCACGCAGCCCGGTCCCTGCCTCACCGCTGTCCTGAGGCTG